CTACACCTAATTAGGTGCATCTAGTTGATGCACCCGATTTTTTCTATTTTCATACCTTCACAGTCTTTGATTTTGATACTCGGGAGATCAGGGCAGAAGAAGTCGGAGTACTCGGATTATCGTTTTGGATTACGGGAGAAGACTATTTCGTCGACTGTAAAGGTCTCAGGGGCTACTGTGGAGATTATGGATACCCCATACCTACACGGCATGTATAGTCCGACTAGGTATGGGGTGCCATGTATAGACATAATATCCTTAAAAGGACTCGGGTTAAATTCCAAACTTGTACGTCAAGGAAATACCCGGGATCCTAGTCGGTTACGATTGTATCTTATCTGTAACTACCTATTCCGTTAGGGATATGGATTGTGCTTTGTAATGCGGACCCCTTCCCCTATATAAGGAGGGGTCCGGGTGCCTCTAGGGGCACAATTTTCACCCAGATCATACGATCAATAATACACTCGGCGGATCAATCCCCGGACAGGAGTAGGGTATTACTTCTTGATTAAGAAGGCCTGAACCTATATAAAATTCCTTGTCTTTCAACCCATCCACTTTTCCAGCTTGATAGCTAGTATTGCCGAAATCTTGTTTCGATAAGATGGATAAAAATAATTATTTGTCTTCATGGGATGGGTGAGGCATGGGTCCAGACTCCAGACTAGTTAGAACGATAATAAGAAACAAGATCCTCTTATGACTTAAGTTATAGCGGATCAACATCCAATAATATAGGTAATATGTAGTATGGGTAGTTTTGTGGTAAAAGTTAATTTTGACGATAATTAGATTATAATATTTAGGACAAATTTTGAATTTTATAAGTTATTCTATTTTATAGTCCAGATTCTATCATATTCTCTAGAATGTGGTATGCGCACTTCATTTGCTCCCTTCTATCTCCTTTCGTGGCAAAGTTCAAAAATGAGTCAAGTGGTTCCTCCTGAAAATCAATGCTTGTCATGGAACCTTGATTATCAATATTAGAGTAAATTTCACTTCGGGCCACCTTTTGTTACCTATGTTTTACTTTGAACTACCATTTAAGCAATATTTTTATTTTGGACTGGGTAAACTTATCTTTGTTTCACTTTGGACTACCCAACTCTCTTCTCAAGCATATGAACGATCTCGATTACGCTGTCTCCTACTCGTCAATGAACTGCCACAGCTATATGTAACACTATTTCTTCGACATATTACAAGTTGGATGTAGATGGATAAAAAAGTGAGGGTGGCCCAATGTGAAACAAAGGTAAAAATACCCGGTCCAAAGTGAAAACATTGGTCCTAAGGTGGTCCAAAGCGAAACATCGGTAATAAAAGGTGGCCCAAAGTAAAATTAACTCTCAATATTATTATATGCACACACTTTGCTTTCTTTTACTGTGGTACTTTCCTCTCTTTTACTGTGGTACTTTGCTCTCTTTTCTTTGGAGGGAAATCATTAAATAATCTAAAGTGCATATATAATATTTTTAGTTTTTCTTTTGGTGAATATGGGATTGATCCACTTCCACCGCTGTTAACTGTCAAACCTTATCCCGGTTCAGGTTGTTAATGATGTCTGCCTTCTGCTCAAACAAATGACATCACACGGTCCCAAACAATGCATTAACCACCCAACCACTAGAACATTAGATAAACCCCAAGGATTGCATATGGAAGAAGATGGCTAAGCTTGCTTCCTAAATCATTTCGCAATCACCACCTTAAAACAACTCAAAAGGGTACAAAAATAAATAGTGGGTGATGCTGATATAGGATTGCTTAGGTATGGATAACAATGGCTACATAAATAAAGTATTTTTTGGATTATATCAGCCTGAACTTTTTTCACTAATTTCCCTGTCAAAGAGAAAAAGCATGACTTCATTTTCCTCTTTAGTTTTCTTTTCTTTGATAAAAGCAACTCCAGCTTTCTGATTGGATAGCTGCTAAGCCTCACATCCAAAACTGTGGCCCAATGGTCCCAACATAGCTTCCTTCTTCATTATTGTTTATTGGGAAAATATGTGGCATGACATGTAAAAATATTTACTAGAGTTGAAAGTTAAAGGTAAGTGAGACCTTTCACTGGTCCACCATTAGCACAGCATGGAAAAACTGAAACATCATACCATAGGAGAGGTACCATTTTTTTTGGATGATAAGAGAAGTGTCATAGCATTTTTTTTCTTTTGCAGAACACTAGCTTATCGTACTTAAGTTCTTGCCAAGTCATTACCCTGATAATTAACCAACAATTGGAGTTAATGGACAAAATTAGGTAAGACCAGTTTGTCAAGAATTGACATTTTTTGGGACCTCAATAGCAGTTCACTCGATTCACACTGTAAACTATTCTAAATTACATGTCGGACACATGTCTACAGTGAACACGAGTCTTGCTCACCTCTTATTTCAATGTTGCTCAATTCTCCTACGTATTCTTTGAAGAAAACACACATTCATCCATATGCACACACATATGTATGCTACTAGATCTATTATGGAGTTCATCATCAAGCACATCGAGAACTTATCTCGGTACTACTCCCTCCATCCATAAAAGTTACACCTATTACTTTTGTTATCAAGACCAAAAAGAAATTAAATTATCTTGGATGTTACAAAATCAAGTAGTGAATGCAAGCATACAACCAACGAATGCAACCAACGAGTATTTAGATGAATCCTTGGGTTCTAACCAAACATTTAATTTATCTCTTCATTTAACTCTTGAATAAATAAAGACTGCAAATAGAAACAACTTATTTAGAAAAACTCAAATGTGAAATATGTGTAACTTTTGTGGATGGAGGGAGTATATGAGATCCATTTTTAGAGGTTTTCCCATGCTTCAATACACTATTGGAGTTGCACAAGTCTTGAAGCAATTGTTTGATTGGAGTGAACAGAAATTAAAAGTGAGGGCTACTAAGTTTAAAAAATGGACAGGTTTGGTGCTTATCAAAAGGTCAAACTCCCAATGTTTCGTTTTCTTATTTGAAAATAGGCAGGAGGGATGCCTAGATGATTAATTAAGAAAAAGGGGGACAAGAACCACTCAAGTTTAGAGAGAACAGGCAAAGTTACTATGCGGTACCCTGTTCCAAGTTTCCAACTTTTAGATCTAAAAGTTTCAGGTTCACTTTGTAGCTTTTAAAGATGCATATGTTCCACTTTTTAGCACTTGCATGAGTCAATCTTGATTAACTGTTTCTTTTTTTTAATACAGAAGCTAAGCGATTGAAATACAAAGTACCCCTCTTTCTATTCCAAATATTATAAGACATATAAGTTTTTACACGGTCTCCAACATAGAATATTTATCATTAATTTCTTAGATAATATTTTTTCAGTTACTTCACAACTAACATCATATAGAAGTATTTTCATACAAATATATTGATGTCACACGCGTTAAAATAAAAATATATTTTGAGAATTTAATTACTAGTCAAAAGTTGTGAATGTTAACTCTCCTTAAAAGGGGTGCATTATAATTTGGGAAACAAGGGTCTGTTTATAATTTGGGATTAAAGGAATACTCGAGTTTCTAGCAAATTAACATAGGACATGAGACATAAACCACCAACGAGTTTGAACTTTGAACCCGGTGATGGCAGAGCCACCCGAAATAGATCCTCTGTCCATAGAGGTGCACAGTATGTGTGCATCCGATATAAAAATGGATAGTTTATATCAACTGCTATAACGCCTCGCTTGCACAGTAAAATCGATATAGTATTTTTGATACTAGTATTATTGTATACTGCACTATATTATTTATACAACATCGGATTATTATTTAAATAGTTTTTTCATATTATTATAGATATGTGTGGATAACGAGCCAACTCGACTCGTTAAGGCTCTCGTTATCTTAAGGAGCTAACTTGACTTATAAAGGTGTTATAAATACATTAACAAGCCTAACGAGCTTAAAAGCTTATCTTGACTCAGCTCGTTAACGCATTTATACCACATTTATAATTTTAATTACTATTATATCATATATATATATATATATATATATATATATATATATATATATATATATATATATATATATATATATATATATGTGTGTGTGTGTGTGTGTATACTTAATAATAAACATTAAATAATAAAAAATTCACTAAATACAAATAATTTATATGTAATTAAAGGACTGATTACTAGTTAAGAAGCATGTAGTACAGATGTGGTTATCTCTTATACTAACGAGCTAGCTAAACGAGTAGCTCGTGAGCTTGCAGTTAAGCTCATGAGCTAAACACCTATCTTGGCAGACTTATTAAAATAACTACAAGTTCGAGTCAATCCGAGCCGAGCTCGCTAGTTGTGGAGGATTCACATACGAAGTCATCACCAGGTTGAGTAGATGGCCCGAGTTTTGCAAACACATTTTCATGGGTAATTTTATCATCCTTAAAAAAAATACCTGAAGGTAAAACATGTAAATTTTGGTATTTGCAGGTACCAAGTATCTCAAGGTACCCAAAAAAAACTTAGGTGCTTTGATGTACATTTTCAAGTACTATAAAATTTCTCCATTTTCGTTATATGGAAGGTCCACAAATGAATTCCACACCACACCTACGTGTACTAACAATTATACCCCACAGGATCCAACACTTCTTGACGATGTACCAAATTTTCTAATTTGTTTATGATAGAATTTGGTTTTTAACTTTCCTAAATAAAAATGCACTACTAAATTATTCTCTTCGCTTTTAAATAATTTTTATATAATTGATATAACACTATTCAAATATATCAAATTCAAAATTCAAATATATCAAATTCAAACCTTAACCACCTTTTTTTGGAAAATTTATCCTACTCAAAATATGTTATATTATCGAAGTATTTGACGCTATAAATATAACAATACAACTTTCATTCGTTAACAGCTTCAGTGGATGGAGTATTCTTTTGTTTTTTGACACATTGAAATTTTGGAAAATCAAACATCGCATCATTTATACTTTCAACTCCCAACTCCAAGGCTCCAAGCCCTCTCATATCTGTTTCGATTCTCATGAACAAAATGTACAAATACAGATATTCTTCCAGTAAAGAGATGATCGAGGAAACAAATTAACCCGGAGGACAAGTTCAAATGAGAAAGCTCCATCAATAAATTTAAAGAACAATGAGCATTTGTGCAACCTCGGTCAGAGTTAAAAAAAGAGAAGACCATTAAACGCTTCTAGTTCCAATTGAGCATTCCTGTCATTCCAGCCTCCAGTTACCATTCAAGATTCTAAAAATCGGCAGATTTCACACCTGAAAATCCATCCCGGATCCACAGGTAAATTGCCGTGAATCATGATCGAGTCGTTCAGTTTCAGATTGGCAGTCATGCCCTCATGAGTAAATCTTTGGTTAAATGGCACGTATCCTCCTAGACCATTTGTCACTCACTCGAAGAGCTGAGAGCAATACAGCCACACGCGCAATCTGCATCTCCTCTGATCACACATTCGGCATGGAAAACTGCTCTCACCGGCCGGTGGTCGGACAACCTGTAGTTGCATGTGTCGTATTGGATTTGCTTCAGGCCCTTACCGCGCCAAAGAATGCGGTCACACCTGCGCAAACAAGGAAGAAGAGGAAGCATCTAGGCCGTCAAATTCGATCAACATCAACAAGGTCAAAAGCTACTCAGCTGTAAGGTTCAGGTCTCGACAAGCTGACCATGCTGGGGCACGCTTCTTTTTTCCAAGCGCACCGTCGAAGCACCAGTAGTACTGATCGGAGTTGGGGTGGTACTTGTAGGTGGGAGAGAACGTGATCAGCCCTTCTTGCCAACCGTCGAAATGCCGACCCGTCGAGAACTCGATCAATAGCTACAATTGCGCCAGGAGATTGAGAACGGAAAGAAATATGTACTGTGGAGAATTTGGTAATTTATGCAATCGTGTTGTCAACAATTGGTTAAGATGGAAGGTTCAAGATAGATCGTCGAACAATACCTGGTCGTTCTCTAACAGGATGGACCAATTCTTGTCTTCCACCAACAACCTTGTCTCAGCCTCTTCCAAGGATATCCTATAATTTAAGTCACCGAGCAAAACGACTTGACTGCACAGATGACAAAGAACAAACGATATAAAGACGATAGACAAATTATTGGTACAGTATAAATTGATGAGAGATGATGAACTGGGTGATGTATGCACGATGGCATTTAATAGCTTGTAGGATTCTTAATTCTTAGATGGGTACCCCTTATTAGGCAGGGGACGATGTACGATTAGCTAATTAAAAAATGTCATGCCAATGCAAACTAAGCTGCAAAAGGATGTGATCATTAGCACAAAAGTACAAAAGCTAACCCATGTCTAGGAGTAGGGATCTATATGGTTGCTGATACTGATGACAAAAGAATATGGAAAATGGCTAGCTAGGGACCAACGATTGAGAAAAGAGGACCAATTTGGTGGTCCATTGAACAAAACTAAAAACACAGGAGGGCAGTGAGCTGAGATACTGTTGTGCACCTACTCGTGGTCAAGGATCTTCTTTGGCAATTCTTGGGTTGCACCACCAGGAAATCTCGTCCTCACGAGTATATCCGCAGCATCAAAGTTCCTCAGCAGTACATCCCCTTGTTTGCCGCCTGAAGCCAGGTGACAGCAAACAAAGCAAAAGCTCGTCTCGTGTAGCACAAATCGAATTGACACCGAGCCCTGCAATCCACATATCCAAATGCATGGTTATGTGATTGCACATACGGAAGGTATGACCCTCTTACTTCTGATGTTTGCATTTTGTGCATACCTTGTTCCCTAGGTAGCCCATGATGCCTGAACCAACACAAGACACATTCAGATGGTGAATGTATGGCCTAAGATTGCTTCTCACCCAGACTGACATAAAGATGCCCACCATCTGCTTGTTCATGATGCATCTAAAGTGTTCTTCCTGCGCAGATCTCTCCGTTGCACTGCTATTTGTGATTTCTTGATGCAACACTGCTCCTCTTCTCCTCCTTTTGTTTAGTGCCTCCCCAATCAGTGAGTTCCACTTTGTAGATATACAGCTATTCCTAGGACCAAGCACGTTTCTTGCGTTGAGTGGCACTATCTCTTGGAACCTAAAACACCATCAGCACAGAACAAAACAGAACCATCAACAATTAGATCAGTTAGCCCCCTCAACGAAAAAGAGAGGATGAGTTAGAAGGTTGAAGTGAGCTAAGTACCCAAGAACGTAGATGTCATAGGAGTTAGCTGTTGAATCCATCCAATCCTCCAAGTCTAGATCACTGGATGGTGTCATACCACCAACATTCCACGTACTAGTGAACACCCTTCGAACGAACAACAAAATATCCAAATCATCAGATATGAAATGCAGTGAGCAAACTTACAGGTGCAATGAAAACTACTACAAAAATCACCTGTATCTGAGTATATCATTCTGCCCATCCAGAGGCCTCTTTCCCAAGGTTTCATCCACTACACCTGAAATCTCAGAAACTGATCGATGACCACACAGCTGCTGGCGGTGCGATAGCTTACTTGGAACCAATCTTGGCAGGATGATCTGGAAGAATAGCAGACATTATAACACTCTGCAACCAAGATAAAATGAAAGGAGGAGTAGCGGATACTTGTCTGTCTGCTCACATGTTTCTCTCCCATGATCCTGCAGGGACGGGGAAGAGATCGTCTCCTCCTCTAATAGTAGCATGCAGGAACCTACATGCATGAGCAAGTAATCACCAAACATGGAGAACTGCTGCAAGATATATAGCTAAGCAAATGGGCAGGAAAGGAAAGGGAGAGAACAGTAGCTTTGATGTTGACAGAGTTGCAGGTCAAGCTTCTCATTGTTTCCAATAATTTCAGAAATCGGAACATTCAGATAGTACAGCACATATTCTGCTGAAGGCATGTTAAGCTTTTTCTGGACCAACAAGTTTACTGCCGGTTCTGGTCTTAACAAAGACAGCAGCTTATAACTTATATTTTAGCATGTCTTGTGTCCCTGGCTCTATGCTAAAGAATGATTACAGAGGCAATACAAAAAACAACAAAAAAAAAGTGATCAAGTGGTACAAAAAGTAATGCAAATATGCAATCCAGAGTGTTCTGATTTGCGAGCTATATTGTCATGCTTGACGGTTTGGCTCATTGGCTGAGAAGAAACCATCCTCTGTTGAATAATGGCTGGCTGGTAAGAGACAAAGGCACACTTGGGCAACTTGCCTACCTAATATTATTTTTATTATTATCTGTTTGTTATGCTACCATGGGTTCTGGCAAGGCAATCATGCAACTTGTGTTTGAAATTTTCCAGAATTTGGACTCATGTACCTATTTGCATGTGTCTATTGTTTGAAGAATCGTAGCAAGAGATCTCAAGAGTGTAGCTGCTTTTGCCCTGTAGTTGACTGTGGATAGATCTCTGTAGGTAGCATAGGTTCTATAGACCTATAAAACAATTCTACTAGGGTGTTAATGCGCTTAATTATGTGCAGTTTTCTAACATAAATAGTCATAGTTGGCTTACCTCTGCATGAACTCCAAAAGGTAGATATTATGTTTGATGGTTATCAGATTGCACTTCTCTCCAGAGGATAAAACTGTTGCAAATGGTGAATTCCTGGGCCACCTAAAAGTGATATCTAATCGAGAACACTCGTTTAGCTTTATATTTTGTCTATAGAAAATATGAAGACACTATAATGTGGATCGACAAAAGCGCAACTCAACATTAAAAAATGAGGGACAAAAAAAGACAAGCAAGCACCTATAGGCATGCCCACCGTTCATTCCCCTGAACAACCAAATTGGTAGATTCTGGCTAGTCCATGTTTCTTCATTTGACAAGGCACCATTCACATGAAACAAGCATCGTTCTTTTATGCAATGGCAGAAACCAAAGTTGGTCCAAAAGTGAAGAAATTCTGTTCGTTCATTTCCCTGATACACCTAACTATGCATTGGCTTGCAGCTATGCACAGCTGTGGAATCTAAAAGATTATACATTTGTATCCTGATGTGAGATAATCTGAAGTAACGAAAAATGGACGGTAGTGATTTCCAATCAGTCTCCAGTCATTACTAGTACTACTAGAACATAGCAGATGTATGTATTAGCTGTAGAGTATACTGTTGTTGATATGATTTTCCCATAAATGAGATCAATTTACACATAAAAGCAAGAAGAACGATGTAGAATTTTATGACTTATTCATGATGGCATTATGTGGATACCTAAACCTGGCAAAATCTTTCACATTACTGAGTGGTATGGATGGAAAACGTATGTGAATAATGCCAAGTAAAATTGGATTATCACCATTTCCATCACCATGATAATAAATATTTTAACTGAAATAAACATGACTTGATTGCGCATAACAATATAGATTTCTATCTTAATATCAATCACCAGATCACCATAAAACCCACTATCAGTGGAATAATGGCGTAACCTATCCTGCAGTTTCTTGCAGATTGCAAACACAGAGAGCTATCATGCAAAGTAGCTAAATTCTAAAAATGTTAGGTGTGAACTTAACTATTTAATTTCAAAATACACTTAATGTTAATATCTAGTATTATCCCCTTTGAATAAAATGAGGTAAAAATCAGTAGTGACTTGTTTTCTGTCATATCGTACCATGCACGTCTTCTCAAGAAATTAGTGCTTTTGGATGTTACAGCTCAAAGTTGTTTTTCTTATGTGGACTATTGATATGCATTTACAAACATTAACCAAAAAAAGTTAAATACATTCTAGCTCCATTTCTGGACATACCAGGTTTTAAGTTAGTTTGGTTAGACTTGTATAGACCAAACAAACAAAGAGTAGCCAATGCACCACGACTTATTTTCCTCAGTATTATATGCATGTTAAAGGCAATAGATTAATGGGACAAGAAAGCTCTGAACTTTGTGTAGCCTGAAGAAACAATAGGGTACCAACTCACCGAAGTTGTGTTGCCAGCCTAAGATGAGGGCAACAATGAAAAGAGCGATAACCCAGTAGTACGCTACAGCTCAGCATATGCACATGACCTGAGATTTTGAGTAACATAGCTACCAGAGTGTCCATATCAATGTGATCAATCATCTAACAATGCTGTTGAGCACATAACGTTATTGAATAAATAAAGTAAGAGAGCATCTAAGCTTTGCTACATTCTACTTCCTCCGTCCCAAAATATAAGGGATTTTGGATGGATATGACACATCCTAATACTACGAAACTAGACAGGAGTCTGTCCAGATTTGTAGTACTAGGATGCGTCACATCCATCTAAAATCCCATATATTTTGGGACGGAGGGAGTAGATGTTTTACCCCCACCATGAAAAGATTGGTTGAGTTGGGAGCACATTTTTATGATCTTCGGAAATCAGAAGTCAGCAAATGTTTCACATGCATATCCGTCTGTTACAATCGTCAAGTCCTAAAAATAGGTCACTACTCTTACTGACATGCTTAAAAATGACAGCTGTATATATGTTTTGCAAGGCATGTGAAAAAGAAACGATAAGATTTGCTATAAAGCAAAGAAAGATCGAAAAGGTTGTTTCACAAAGATAGCAAATACTATCATTTAATGCAAAATGCACCTCATGTTGGTACTTGGCACTCAACCATATCACAAAATCTTTCAGATACGGAGATCCTGGAACATATCTTTTGTCAGATGCTCCCCTCAATATTGTTCTACATGCGTGGCAATGTAGCAGCCACAAGGGCACCATTCAATTAAAAGAAAAAGACTCCATAGTCCAATGTGATTATAGATCAATATCCATCTACCATAAATTAATGAGTGTCAATCAATAATTGGCCTTGAAGAGTTCAATAAGCAAGTTGACACACCTTTTTAACCAAAAACTGACAAATTTGATGAGAACTTGGATCACTTAATCATTTTACACAATCTTTTCATCTAGTTACAGTTGCAGCACTTACCATTATCATGACTTCCCAATGAAGGAGCAGCTCATGCGGTTATATCAGATAGAGCAATTTTAGTAACTGTGATCAACACTACCTGCAAGAGTTGCAAAGAAAGTAAGAAACAGAGCTAAATATTATTATGAGTGATGATTGCAGCACATACACAAGAGTAAGACTTCACCAATTTGCAGAAATTGAAAAGCAAACAGTGTAGCACTCTAGCTATGCCAGGATAGAAAAGGAAGAACCACAAATTATTGGGACACTATCGACAAAATGATTGACTTATAAAGAAGTGTTATATCACCTGCTCGTGCAGTAGCACAAATGCATCAAACAAGAACTGAAAGAGGTACGAATGCACATCATACAGAATGCGCAACTAACACAGGGATGCAGGTAAGCAATATCTTCAGTATTTAACACAAAACAAGACAGCCTATCACCTTTCAGTTACAATGTAGAGAAAATGCAGTTACAGTCATAACATAGAATTAATCATGGCCTTATATAATCCTATTACCTTTGAATGACAACTTTTTTTTACATTATCATTCAGTTTCAGGAAAGCATATCTTACTACCAAAATTTACAAAGGAAAAAGTGACATCTGCAAAGTTTGTTTCCACCTTCCATCCCTTGCTTCGATATAAATTAAAGCACTGATAAGTGATAAAACCAATGCATTTGTTTAACTCATGACATGGACAAAATAACCATGTAGAACATAGAATTATGGATTCAGCAGGAGAAGCATATAATCATATAGGCCATTGTTGAAACATATTGCATTACACAAAGTATAATTCTACACTTAATGATAACAGATACAAGGGGGGGGGGGGGGGAAAGAAGAACGTTTGCAGCCTCATCAGAAGAGGAAACAATATAATTATGATACCAAAATATTACAGCATACAATAATATCTCATAAAACCCATCAAAATGTTGCTGGATTTTGCAACCTTTGCAAGTTGCAACCATAATAACCAGTGTAGCTTTCATTATACAAATAAATGCCATTTGATTGTGTTACCACTACCAGCAACAAATCAAAGATTAATACATTATGATTGCATAGCTGACAATGCACAACTTTATGAGATAATGTGCACATCAGAAGCAATCGGCTGGCTTTATGCCTGAACCATTACTCCCTAATTATTAAACTATGTCATCAGATGGATGACAAGATAAACCATAAGAAATCAATAAGAATATCCAAAATCAATGGTGAACTCATGTTTTTCTTTTAGAATTAGTATTTACTAATACCATAATGAAGTACATGATTTTCAACATGACTCTAATCTTGCACTACTTACATCTCAGGTGGGTTAATTTCCCACCATGATTGAAATAACTAAACAAAAACCATCTACACAAAGGCAAAGGCAGCAATCTAAAACAAAATGTTTTACAATTAGCCTTTCTCTTCTATACCATGTTCCAATATCTGACATAAGTGGGAGCACCATATAGCTGATTCACTTCACCATCTCTGGAGAACATCAAGTCTTGAGCTTAACCAATTGATGATGTCATTTGCTATATCATCCCTTTCAGGTTCAAAGAGAAGATCATGTAAATATCCATCATACAGTTTTATAGATTTATGTGCTGATGCTGATGATTGGTACAGTCGTTGAGATGCTCCGGGGTCAGTTATTGTGTCAGCTGTGCCATGCAGAACTAAAAAAGGGACAGTTACTCTGCTTAAGTTTCTTTGCAAATATGATGATATCCGAAGAATTTCATTGCCAGTTCTAACTCTAATGGGTCCAGTATACACAAGTGGATCTGCATACTTGATCTTCAAAGCCTCAGGATCACGGGAAACAGGAGGTCCTCTCCTGTGCAAAGCAGCAACTCGGTATTTTGGAGCTAACACAGAGAAGATAGGTGCAACAACCTGGTATAGATAAACGCAAACAAAAAAAATAAAATCTGTAAATAAAAACTCATTCCAACTATATCCTTGATTCCTTGTTGCAGTCACCCAGTTGTTAATAATCACACAAATTACACTCCAGATCAAAAGTCAACAAACCACAGGCAAATCTTCATATGACAGAAAACACGTTGAAATTACTTAATAATATGATGGGAGTCAGACGGTAATTTTTTCATAACAGAAGTGAGATACTCTGTTTGTAGAAATTAACATGGGCTTTAGATATACCGCAGGTTAAACTGTATAGAAGTTGTACAGCCATTAACATAAGATAATAGAATGTTGATATCTCATGTGAACTCATACTCCAGTAAAATCAGAAGATTCCACTGACATTATGAAAATAAGCTTGAGAACATTACTTCATACCTCTCTGCTTACATTTTTTTAATTGGAATATCCAAGTCAAGAATTTCTTCTGTGACAAAAGGAATGTTTCAATCTACTCAAATCAACACTAGTAAACCACCTTACAAACAGTTATATGAGAAATTGACATAACTAAACAAGAAAATAAATAATACAATGACAAACGCCAAACAAAATGAGCTCTAGCAGGATATGAATGTATATCAACATATAGAAATGGTACAGATCTTTGGAATATCAACAATAAATCCTTCTTCTGTTGTTAGATACCAAGGTTAATAGTGTAATTTCACATTGAACACGTGAAGATAGCATCCCAAGTGCAAAAGGAATGCAGGGTATAGAAAACAAAGGCATATATAAAGTAATGTGCTTACTTTGATAATTGGATGAGATGGTTGAACATGAATAGCCGGAGATGTCAAGATCACACCTTCAACATGAACTTCAACACAAGGATCCAGGACTGCCTTTGGTTCACTCGCACAAAAAGGAAGTGAAGCTGGTATTTTCAGTTATGTGTACTCCCTATCACAAAGGCAATCAAACAATCCAGTCTAACAGCTTTTGTTGTACCAGTGTGTACCTTCAAAACAATAGCTCCACCTGTGGAGTGGCCAAATAAGAAACATGGCAAACCATAGTTTTCCTCCAGTACAACATCCTCTAGAAATTCTTTCTGCATGGAAAAGAGCATTTAGAGGTTCATGGAAATCCTGCTAGATATATATTTCTGTGCAGCTATTGTGTATCAAGAAAAGTACCAGGTCACCAACAGCATGATCAAGCGATGAAACATAGCCATGCACCCCATCACTTCCACCATGTCCTTCAGAGACGAGACAACGTACAGCATAGTGAAGATCAGAAGACCCGAAATATATACAGCGAAAAAAAAAAACAAAGTTGTAACTGGTCTCTAGTTTTGTCACTTCCTAGTTAGAAGCAGCCCATCGATAAAAAGGATCAGTTCACCATAAGGCAAGATATACCATATTGGTTAGGAGTTACTATAAAAGGTAGTTTGTTTTATAACAATACTTGTACAACATGACAGATGTAGGTACTCCTATAAATTATCTTAGTTGGTGATAGTTAATATTAACCTTCCCTTCAACATTGACAGATGGGACCACTATGAATATTTGGTAAATATTAATCTGCAACCACTGAATTTCATATTCAACCTCCAACCTCATCGAAGAAAAAAAAAGTATGATGGGTTTGAGTATTTTTGTCTGTAGCACCAAATTGACATTCTCCTGGTGATCAGGAAAAGGGCACATTCAGGCACTAAAAATTTTCCTGTTACAGTACAAGTCTAATGCCAAGCAAAAATTTTATTTGATACAAAATATTTTACAAAGTTACTGTGAAATTGAAGAGGCTTAGATACTGAACAAATCACATATGTGCCTGGTACAGCAGTAGGCATCCCATAACTCTGAAGTTCACTGTGGCAACAAAACAAAACAAACTAATCTAATGAGTCTGTCAATGGCCTTTCACTCTAGTTTTAAGATTTTTCAAATCTCCAATCTCAGGTAAACTGTGTAGTTAGTACAACCTGGTTCGAGAATCTTAAAGAATCACTAAACAACGAGAACATCAAACTAATCAAGATTTTAGCACAGAGTATGATAGTAACTCACCAATCCAGTCCATTGCATAAACTTTAAGCCCATGATCATTTAACAGCTTTGCAAAATGGTTGTACCTCCCACTGCAGCACACTAACTGATTGTCAGCAAGATCCACCATGAAAACCCATATTAATATATAAAATTATGAATACATATACCTATGCTCATTTAGTCCATGTAACAGAACAACGATGCCCCTGTAGGAGTTGAAAATCAAAAAACAATGTCAGGATACTTTGTCTAAACTAGAGTAAACAATGAAGAAAATTTTCATGAAATCCAGTTCCAGTACACCATTTTATGTGATGAACTAGAAAAGCATCCCATCATACATTTATACCCCAAAATAAAATGCCTCCAGTAAATTGAAAGTTCCCTCAAGTCAAGAAAATAAAGCATACACTCGTTCCATAACATTACTAATTTCTAACAGCGGAAGATATTGAATAAACTGCAGAGCCTTTTTTTTTTTGGTAAATTCATGCAGGCACTCGTTCCATCATGTTCTCTTCTGCTGAGAAAATTAAACATAAAATATCATCAGATAGTGCATACATGCATGGCTTCATCTTTCTGAACCAGAGAAAACAGAGTCCCTAATACCCATCCCAAGTGTCAGGTCCAGGAAATGGAAATCCTTCCTGAACCCTGAAGCAGCATCCGAGCAAACATGTTCAGCCACAATTTACCACACTATTATACCAACAAGGCCTACCATTCTTGGACACACTATGTTGGCCCAACAGAATGATTAGGCCCTTGTAATCTAGTCCACCTTAACGCTAGCTACTCTTATTATTGGTGAACAAAAAAAAGGCTTGTCATGTAGCCCTTCGTCTTTGCATGGGTCTAATCCCCACAAGAACATCACTCGTGAGGAACAGACAAGCTTCCACTCTCAGTAGAATATTCTGATACTATTTGATGATTCTATACTACAAGACAAAGGCCCCTAGGAAAGCAACCACGAAAAACAAAAATCTGCGGTTTATGCCCCCTGTTCGACAGTATCAACACAGATTGAATAAAAATCCCGCCAAATTAACACTACTAGCAATGCAGAGGGCGTGCCCATCATGGCCTAAACTTCCGCCATGCTCGTCAATCGCAATAAACGAATTGTCAAAACTAAGCGCCTTCCTAACTAGCAAAAAAATTGTAGATGATGAAACTAATATTGAAAGTGGTGATGGGGGTTGGGTAAGGGAGGGAGGTGTGAATACTTGACGCGATCGGCGGCGGCGACCGGGGTCCACGACTGCGTGAAGAGAGCGTCCCCCCTGGCCGTCTCGAACACGGCGAACTCCCTCCTGCTGCTCCCCGTCCCCGCCTCCTCCTGCAGCCTCCGGATCGCCATCTCCCGCCTCGCCGCCGCGTCCAGCTCCACCGCCTTGCTCCACCCCTCCTCCTCCTCCTCCTCCTCCTCCTCCTCCTCCGCCGCCGCCGCCGCCGCGGCCATCTCGGACGCGGGCGGCGGCACCGCGAGGCAGAGCCGCAGCCGCCGCGGCGCCCTCGCCTTGACAGGAGCCACCGCGACGACGATCCGCACCCCCGCGGCCGCCGCCGGCCACCGCCGGAGCGACGGGATCGCCGCCCTCCCCGCCGCAGCCGCCGGCGAGGCCGTGGGGGCCCACATGTCGGGGAGGAGGAGGAGGAGGGAGAAAAAAAACGCAGACGAATATGGAGAATGGAAGCTTCGCCTTCTCCGATGGTTAAGAAATTTTCTCGAGACTTTTATATTTTAGGTGGCGCTGGTCCAACGCGGAGGAGGTGGGCCCCGCGAGGAGGAGGGCGTGGCGTGTCTCTCGAGCGGCACGTGGACCCTGAGAAGGCATTATTAGAGCAAGTTTAATAGTATAGCCAACTAATAGCTACAATTCATCTATAGTCAATCTAATAGCTAATTTATACAATATTTACATACTACATTATTAATACCTAGTCCCACCTGTCATACACACACTGTGTCTTGGAGTCCGTGCTACTGTTGGCTATAAATCTGTAGCCCACTGCACTTCTCTCTTCTCATTTTGTCTTCTTAAAATATGTTTGTAGTTGGCTTATAGCCTGCTATTGTACCTGCTCTTACTAGTAAGGCCATCACCAATGCGGTGCTTCAGTCCGTGCCCCTAGCGACGGCCGTCCACTTTTCTGTCGGCGTCATCCCCTGGGAGAGAGCGCGTCCCTCGCTCGCTTTTGGCTGAGGGACGACGTGGAGCGACGCGTTTGGGGCGACAAGCTCCTGTGGACACCGGAGCTCCAGCACCAAATTCCCCTTTCACCCCTCTCCCCTCTCTCTCTTTTGTTCCCCTCGAGGTCGAGCCGGAGGAGGAGCAGGAGGCGGCGACGACTGCCGCGGTGGAGGCGGCGACGACTGCCGCGGTGGAGGCGGCGGCGACTGCTGCAGTGGAGGCGCGGCAGTGACGCTGGAGGCGGGGAGGACGGGGAGAGAGGTTGGAGGTGGGGCGAAGAGGGAGAGAGAGGCGGCACACCAGATCCGGCGACGGAGATGACTCGGTGACGACCGGCAATAGCGACGGTGGAGGAAGAGCGGTGGCGGCACGGCACGCCAGATCCGGCCTCTGTGCGCCGCTCGCCATCGTCCACCCCTCGCCGTCGGCCACCCCGCCCGTCGCTCGCCATCCGCCACCGCACCCGGCGCCGAGAGAGAGAGAGGAGGGGCGTGAGAGGATGGCCGGCACTGGTGAGGCGAACGGCGACGAGCGGCGGTGGGGCGGTGTCGTCACCTCGTCGAGAGCGGCTGAGCGGGCATGGTGGTCGGCGCGAGGGCGTGAAGGCAGAGAAGAAAAAGAAAAGGAGGAGAAGAGAGAAAGAGAGAGGGGGAGAAGAGAGGGGGTAGTATAGTAAAATAACTATGTGGCCTTTTTGGGTTAGGGACACTTCTTGGGCTATCAGGGGTATCCTGCATTGCAAGAGTAGTTCCCTAGAGAATGCCCTCAGTTAGTGAAGATACCCATGGAGTATCCCTGATTGTAGATGCCCTAAGTAGTCCCTCCGTCCCCTAATGGTCTAATATAAGAGATTTTGATATTTTATCACTCGTCTTATTCAAATAATTTGTGCAAATATGAAAAACAAAAAGGTGTGCTTAAAGTACATTAGATAATAAGCCATAAAAAAATAAATAATAATTTCAAAATAAATAATAGTAGTAACCTTGGGTGTCCGGTGTCCGAGACCCATATGTTAGTTGTAGATATATATTGTACGGGTCTAGGGTTATTTGTGACCTCATCTTTTCGCTTATATTTATGTTTATCAGTCAAAATTTGAATTTTCTTGAAGCTGATTTTGAGGTTTTCTTATCAAAGTTTATTTTTCAGCATTTGCTTTTAAATCGCTAAGAACACACACACACACACACACACATATATATATATATATATATATATATATATATATATATATATATACACGTAAAATCTAAATCGAGAGCGCTCTCAATTTAGTCATAGCCTATCATCCAATCAGCTGTTGTCCAGATATGTCTTGAAGAATCTTACTTTACTATAGTACTAATTGATCAAGCAAGTAGAACAAATATTCCTATCATCTATGCTTCAAATAAAATTTTCTCTTAAATTACTCATCCGATTTACAATCCGATTACACCATTGTGTTCGTAACAATTAAATCTTTACAACAAGATCTCACATGATTATATTTTAATAAAAAATCACAAATTACTTTTATAATATATCTAAATTACTTTTAGATTTCACTAAGTTACTTCTTAAATATATAAAAGTAAATTCAATAAAGTTTTAAAGTAATTAACATATATTATAGAAGTTACTTTCTTTTTTTTTGTTATAAGTTACTTCTATAATATATATTATAAATTACTTTTAGGTTATATTGAATTACTTTTATATGTCTAAGAAGTAACTTAGTGAAATCTAAAAGTAATTTAGATATATTACAAAAGTAATTTATATTTTTTCATCAAAATATAATCATGTGAGATCTTGTTATAAAGATTTAATTGTTACGAACACAACGGTGTAATCGGATTGTATATCGGATGAGTAGTTTAAGAGAAAATTGTAGTTAAAGTGTAGGTGGATAGTGTTTATCATAGATGGAGTGGTACAAACCAGCTACCACTAGCTGTGTAGCCATGTCCATATATATAACATGTCGTTTTTCATTTGCAAATATGCTGAGCAAAACAATGGGGCTCTTGTTTAGGAGGAAAAAGGTAGAAATTTCGAAAGATTCCAACCCTATTGAAAGAATTCACTTGAATTAATGCCTTTGAATTAAAGGATTGAATCATATCCAATCCTTTAAAAATTCAATGAACAATTCTATAGAGAATTTGGAGAAAAGTTTCCTTTGTGTCAGTCTCATTCGATTCATGTGCTTTTTCTATGGTCCAATTAAACTGTTATTTCTATATTTTGCAATTTTATGTTTTATACTTAAGGTTAGAATACTTTTTTTTTTCTTTTTCTTCGTTTTTTTTAACTCCAACTAGAATTTTTTTTCTTTTTCTTCGTTTTTTTAACTCCAACTATTCAAGGTCACAGTGTCCCAGGACAGTTCAGTTCAGGGGGGAGGACGAGTGGACCGGGTGTATTTATTGATGAAACGGTGGTTGATCGGTGCCAGTGGGTCCCGTTTAGGCGTTTATCGTCAGCAGAGTCGGGTTTACGTCTTTTTTTTATATACTACCTCCGTTTTTTAATAAATGATGTTGTTGACTTTTTCTCACATGTTTGACCATTCGTCTTATTAAAAAAATTTATGCAATTATAATTTATTTTGTTATGAGTTGTTTTATCACTCATAGTATTTTAAGTGTGATTTATATCTTATACATTTGCATAAAATTTTTAAATAAGACGAATGGTCAAACATGTAAGAAAAAGTCAACGGCGTCATCTATTAAAAAACGGAGGAAGTAGCCAGCGTTGTGTTCCATTTGTTTTTAGTTGTTGGGACGATACGATGATAACAACGGAGGTAGTGGTGATTGAGAGATTAAGGCGAAGATAAAATGAGCGCAGTAAAACGACAACGTAATTGATATTCTTTCGTGCACATCTTGCTTTTCTTCTCTTCAATTTTGCGAATGAATTGTAGAAACAAATTAATGAGCTATTCTATAGAATTTCAAATATAAAAAAGTGAATAACCCGAATGAAAGAAAGGGTTTGAGTCCTAGCACTGTAAGCCCACACCTGTGTACACAGTAGATCGTTCAACACGTGCTGTGTGATTAATTGAGTTTTAATTATTCAATATTTTACAAAAACTTCTAATTTTTTTAATAAAGTATCATTTAACCGTCCGAAAAATGTGTTGATGAAATCTGAGGTAAAATCTATATCTTAATTAGAAAATAACAGTACAAAAAGTTTTTCTAAATATAAATGAATGTTTTTATCCTATCTAAGAATAAGCTTTTTTAAGATTAAACTAAGATTAGTGGTAGATGTAATACATGTATTCCGAAGAGTCAAATGCTTTTAACATGGAAATGGAAATAAAGTGCTCCTTTTTTTTTTCTCCCTGTGTCCCAAAATATAAACATTTTTAAATCTCAAAATAGTTTTCGAGATGCTACTTTAACCAACAATATATATAAAAGTAAGATGATCTAAATAAAAAGAGTTGTATATTATGATAGTTTGTTTAATGATAAATATAGTAACATCAATTTTACATGATTGATATTTTATAATCTTTGTGTTATTAATGGTCAAAGTCAAAAATGTTTGACTTAGACTATTCTAAAATGCTTATATTTTGAGACGGAGGGAGTAGTTTGACATTGTTGATCTTTTTTAACTTGCATTTGAATATTCGTTTTATTTAAAATAATTGTACAAGTATGTTGAAATACAAATCATGCTTGAAATAATTATAATGATAAAATGAATAAAAAAATACGGTGTTGAAACATGTTAATAATTATGCTCCAATGAATCCTACTTTCGGGATTTCAAAAATGAAAAACATGTTAAAACATCGTGTTGGATTATGAAACTCATAGAGACTATTGCACAGTAGTCGGTACTTCACTAAGTCAGGGGATATGGTTTGACATGTTAAAACGCATCATTGTCATCGCCAAACTTGCATACATAGGCATCTTGACTCTTGAGTGGGTTGATACGGTCTTTTGTCTTGACCATGTACTACCTAGCTAGGGGTTAATTTGGTACCTAGATTAATTAGACAAGTCAATTCTACGTGGCACGAGAGATCCGGAGTCCGATGATTATCGTGCCATCAGCAAAGCACATACATGTAAAATGTGTTATTGGTGTAACTACTACCAGTAGCACATAGTTTACACGTTACAGCTATACGTTGATGCCTAACAGTTTCACACCATACCCCCACGTGGCACCCCATGTAGTACAAAATGTGAGACGTGTTATAAGGGCACCCACAATGGTTATCTATAGGCTATCTACAATAGATTCATGTCAGCATATTTTCCTACATGGAAGAGATTAAATGAAGAGAGAGAGCAAAGCTATCTATCAACCTGGAGATAGTCTATAGAGAAAAACGAGACAATGGATTAGAGAGCTATAGATACCCATATAGACATACTATTGAGGTGGTTTACTATTAATCTAGTCTATTGCTGAGATGTACATGTTTTATAGAGAGCACCTTACTTTACCATTGTGGGTGCCCTAAGAGCAAATACAATAGCATGCTATAAACCAGTTATAACCCCATATCAAGAAGAAAAGAGAAAAGAGAGAAAAAAGCGGGATACAGATTTGTAGTAAGTTACAACACGGACTCCAAAACGTTATGTGTGCATGAGGTAGGACTGGGTATTAATGGTGTAGTATATTTTTATAGTTAACTATTATATAAATTAGCTATTAGATTAGCTATAGATGATTTGAAGCCATTAGTTGGCTATACTATTAAACTTGCTGCGTTTTTGAAACAGATGATTAGCTGCAGCGCAGCACATAAAACGAGAGATGTAATCAGTAATATATTAACCGAGTATTAATTATTAAAATTTGAAAAATAGATTTTCGCCGAAACTTACCGTTTTGTATATAAAAAGTTTTTACACGTGCGAAATGAACGTAGGTTCACTGTGGTGTAACCAGATCACCCTGGTTTAAATTCTAGATTTAACCTGGTTTAAATTCTAGATTTAACACGAGTACTCTTATTTACGGCTAATAATTCTTTCAGTGGTAGGCGACTATCCATCAATAGCGATGTGCCTATGGTGACTAGGGGTGAAAACGGAGCGGATTTGGACGGATAGTGGTCATACCATATCCTAAACCATATTTTTTAAGCGGATTCGGAGTGGGTGCGGATAATGTACGGATGTGAATATGGAGCGGATTGTTTCGGATGTCGGAAATGGTGCGGAGTCGATGTGGAATCGGTTCGTAAACGGATTAAATTTATCGGATGCTACGTGTATATGAAATCAATACAACCTCGAATTAGCAATTCAAGGAACATTAATATAATAATCAATAAATGACCCATCGTAATATTTATATGATTAAGTACTAAACAACATGAATACATAATGTCCAATATAGCTACGCGAGTGTGACATGCGACGATAAAAGCCTTAGACTAAAAAATCTATATTAATTAATGAATTAGCAATTGGATGTACCAATTTATGTTATATGCAATAGAATGAGTGGTTACATACGTTGATAATTTCGGATTATCCGGCAAACGGCCTATCGGATAATCCGACAAAAATGTCGGATAATCCGCATCCACCGGATTTTAGAGATACCATATTCACATCCGCATCTGCATCTGCATCAATATCCGCTGGATTTCTAAAAGATTATACCATATCTTCGTTTCGGACAGACTTGGAGCGGATCGGATAATATCCGATCCGTTTTTACCCCCATTGGTGATTTCGTCAATCTTAAGACATGCCAGCCCATTCTTTCAGAGGACAGCGCCCATGATGATTTTATCAATCTCAAGATATACCTGCCCAGTCTTCCAGAGAAAGCGTTTGTGATGACTTCGTCGATCTCAAGATATGCCTGCCCAGTTTATACTTATATGGGTAGGGAAGAGTATGCAGGTCCAATCTTTCAAATTAGCTCATAGGAACAATATGTGCGAATGTGCGTTTATAGGGGCTGAGTGTGCGTACCTTGTGGACACTTGTATTTGTCATGGGGTTTATAAAAAAAAGTTTTCGCACTAAATATATACCGATGTAGGGTACGAAAAACGTGCTAACGAAAACCGAAACCCCCGAAGGTGCATTTCGGCACGTGCGTGGCGCAGGGGGAACCGGTCCACGAGCAAAAGGCGTGGACACGGTCCAACCACCACCACAAGAGGCCGGCCACCTAAAAAAAATCCCCCACATAACACACGCAAAGCAAGCACACCGTCCGTTGCAGATTACTACCACCACCTCCCCAAAATCCCAATCGAATCGAAATCGAATCGAGTCGAGTCGCCGCCGGAGCCGGAGACGGAGGCGGCAGCGGCGCAGCGGTAATGGCGAGCCTCACCCTGCCGCCGGCGCCCACCAACCCTCGCCAGGACGCCATCGACCTCCACAAGGCCTTCAAAGGTCCCCCCCCCCCCCCCCCTCAAATTTCTCTAGCTTTCTCTCCCCTTGCGGGGGGAGTCGCGACGCGATCGGATGTAGGGTTCGCGCGGCCTTGGGGGGTGGTGATGGTGTGTGCTGTTTTGGCGAGCTTGATGATATTATGCTTTTTTTTAGGGTTATAAGGGATTTGCGGTTTTTGGACTTTCGGTGCAGCGGCGAGCGTTTTGTTGTAATGGATTGTTAGTGTTTGTGTGGTGTGGTCAGCGCGCGGCCGGTCTCGGTCTCAGATGTGTTGAGGCTTATGGGGGAAGTGGGGGGAATCGCCGTTGCAGTATCCGCTGGATTGTTGTCATGTATTGAATTCAGGTGTTTTTTTTTGTTTTGGAAGGTAGAACTGTTGTTGTTGGAGTCTTAGACTGTCAGATGTTGAAAACCTGGACAGGACGGGCCGAGGTCGGGAATGGGGCAGCTTTCAAGGGTTCTAGTGGTGGTAATTGCATCGACTAGGACTTTTTTGACCCATTTTAGAAATTGCCCCGAACAGAATTTGGAGTCAAGTGGATTTATACGGAGATAAACTACAGTCTTGTCCCCATCTCAACAGGTCCATTTTCAGGGTCAAAGTGCACAACCGTGTAGTCTTAATAGCTGCTGGATGTGGGTGTTATTGGGTATAGAGCACACAGTTAAATTGAAAAGGAAAAGGAAGTAATCTTATCATCTATGGTAAAAAAAAAGAATTCGTTTTAGATAATATTGACATGCTTGTTTTTGTTATCGTTTTTGCGACTACAAAACCCCATGTGTGATTTACATGTTGAAAGCACAAAGTTATACGAGTCATTAGGACATTCCCAAGTCGTTTAGAAAATATGTTTTGGCATAAAAAGAATTACATATTATGGACATCTTCACCGTGAATTTTATAACATCATTCTTATGCTTCAATCTATATAATTCTTTACTTATTTATAGACAAAGCTAGAAAAGTTTGACTGAGACAAATCCTCAAATGACTTATCTGTTTGATTTTTCTGGTCCATTTTATCATCTATTACTTTCTCTGTATAATAATTTTTTCTTTAGATTGGGTATGACTTCATATGATTTAGTAATATCTGGTTGCTTCCAAAATTAAGTATACTACTGACTCTTATTCCCCCCGGTACACCAAGCCCTAGGCAATCGCATTACCCATTTGATGTGACCATTTTGCCCTGGTTATTTGTTTGGTGTGCGAATCTGCAGGCAAGTACTCAGGAACTCAGAAGCCTAACTGAGTAGGAGTGGGAATGAAATTATTAATTGTAGGGTAAAATGTGAAGCCAGGTTGTGGGATCTGAGTTGTGACAAATATCTGTGAACAGTTTTTGTGGTCAAAGGTTACAATTGTGGGTGGAGAAACTCCATTTTAGCAATTGAGCAGTTTGCATAAATACAACCTTTAGTTGATATTGTGAAATTTTCATTACTAGCTAGTAGCTGCCCTGCTTTATGTTCTTATTTTCCTTTTTGATTTTGACCTGCTGATGGTCTTACAGGGTTTGGCTGTGATAGTACAACAGTTATAAATATACTTACTCATCGTGACTCGATGCAACGCGCGCTCATTCAACAGGAATACAGGACTATGTATTCTGAGGATCTCTCTCGCCGTATATCATCTGAACTCAGTGGACACCACAAGGCATGCAAAATTCTAGAAGAATTCTTCATTTTACTGAATAATAGATCAAATTATAAAGCTAACTGTAGCGATATACTTAATCTAGCTGTAGATTCAGATAGTAGCCAAGTGATAATTAATACAAGTTACTTCGATAAGTGTTAACCAAATATTTGTTACCTCACTTCTGAAAAGAGTTAAATTACTCTAGATTGATGTGCTATTTATGATTAACTTTGTTCATGATTGCAGAAAGCAATGCTGCTATGGATTCTTGATCCTGCTGGACGAGATGCAACTGTTTTGAGAGAAGCTCTGAGTGGTGATACTATTGACCTGAGAGCAGCCACTGAGATAATATGTTCCAGGACACCATCGCAGCTGCAAATAATGAAACAGACTTATCATGCAAAATTTGGTACTTATCTTGAGCACGACATTGGTCAGCGCACATCAGGCGACCATCAGAAGGTCCTATTCTTATTAGAGTATCTGTTCTATTTTTCGTTTGACTTCTTACATGGATGAGGTGCTCGAATTGCTTATCTTTTGTAGTTTTGAAAGCTGTTTCTGAAACACGGATATTTTGCTATTTCTTTTCTCAGAAATATCTTAATAGCCAGTGAAACTCTTTATCTTGGCATCTATTGTTTCACCTTACCTGTGATGTACAAAGAGATCTGCACTATATAGGCTTACTGCCAGCGGTGGAGATAGGGGGGACGGCCAATGGCCTGCCCCCCTTCAATATTTGTGTTTACAGATAATCATCTAATTAATTAGGTGAATAGCCTAAGTAAGTATATTAAGCCCCATCCAAGATTCTTAGGCCCCTCCCATGCCTAAATCCTGGCTCCGCCGCTGCTTACTACCCAATATGCCGATCAATATTTTCATATTAATATACCTATACGAATTCACTTTTATTTTTCTGCTGGAGGCAGTGAATGATATAACGTATGTTGCAGCTCTTGCTTGCTTATGTGGGGATTCCACGCTATGAAGGTCCTGAGGTTGATCCTACTATAGTGACACACGATGCAAAGGACCTCTATAAAGCTGGTGAGAAAAGGCTGGGCACTGATGAGAAGACCTTCATCCGCATTTTCACTGAACGCAGCTGGGCACACATGGCATCTGTTGCCTCTGCTTACCATCATATGTATGATCGGTCACTGGAGAAGGTAATAATACTCTTGTATACATGTATTGGTCTCTCACTCTCATGGAACTTTTCACTGTGATCATGGAGTGTCCTCCATTTATGGTAGGTTGTGAAGAGCGAAACATCTGGAAACTTTGAACTTGCTCTGCTAACTATCCTCAGATGCGCTGAGAATCCAGCCAAGTATTTTGCAAAGGTATCTCATTCTGCAATCTTCAGAAAGAAAATTTATAAGCATTATGGTACTATTGATTCATTGGAGAGGCAAATTCACCAAATAGTGCACCGAATTTTCTTGTTACATATATTGCTTTTTTATCCACATGAAGTATGGCAGACAGCTGTGTACTTTTGATGCAGCAAATTATCTATAGCATCTGGAAATAAATATGTGGTTGCCCCATCCATTACTGAACATAAAGCCTGCAAGAGCTGGCTAAGCTCTGTAGTTATCTTATTTTCTGTGCATCTCTAGTTGCAATCCATGGGCGTCTTTTTTCCTTGGAGTCCTATCATAATCACACGACTGAATCCTCTATTACCTTCCTTCCCCTTATCAGAAATAAATTTGAAAATATACTGTTCATTCAATTATTTTCAGAAATATTCGGGATGCAAAATTTTTTGCAGAAATATACCGTCGGTCTCGCACAACCATTGCGCGAAAATGACATAGCGTGACGTCGCGAGCGGTATCGCGCAGCGAAAGTGCAAGACCGTGTGGTCTCGCGGAACCGAAGAGAGAGACCGCGCGGTCTCGCATATGGGAACAGCGACACCGTCCAACGGCTCCACTTTAATTAGTGATTAATTACCTAATTAATTATTAACTAATAATAATTAGTGATTAACTATCCTGATTAGCGAGACCGTTCAGCAAATTAATTGAATCGGCGGTATCGCTGTCTGGTCCCTGAGACCGTTCGGTCTTGCTATTCCATTCCACGCGGTCTCGCACGATAATGCCTACGACGTCACGGCCACGCCATTTTCACGTAACGGTTGTGCGAGATCGACGGTATATTTCTGCCAAAAAAAATGCATCCTGAATATTCCTTAAAAAAATTGAATGAACAGTATATGTTCAAATTTAATTCCCCCTATCACTCCTGGACTGATCACTAGTGCTCTTATCATTTTAGGCTGGTAACTAGTAGTATTACTGATGTTACAATGTTTCTATTTTAACATGCTGCTAATTCTAGATGTCTAATGCATATGAAAATTTTTTCCATGGCCATTGATGTGGTTATCTGTTTATGCAGAGGTGCTTAGCATCCTCAAACCTACCTATATATAAAGAACTTCATGAAATGTGTTATCCTCTCCATTTAAGACTTCTTTTGATTCCTTCTTTAAGATTGACGTCTTCTTCATTTGGTAGTTGTGATGACCTTATTTTTCTCTGAACCATATAAATTTAGGTCTTGCGGAAGTCCATGAAAGGTATGGGCACTGATGATAGTACACTTATAAGGGTTGTAGTAACAAGGACTGAGATCGACATGCAATATATCAAGGCTGAGTACTACAAGAAATACAAAAAATCATTAGCTGAAGCTATCCATTCCGAGACCTCAGGAAATTATCGAACATTCCTCCTTTCTCTAGTTGGTAGCCATTAGGTACGTCCTCTGGTGCTGATGCCTTACTATGCCACAATATATTAGTTTAAGTTAAGAAATTGGAAGTGCTCATATTAACTCTTGTGTTTTCCCTCTGCTTCTCTTAGGCTACATTTCGTCGACCCTGTGGCACTTGACGTTCCATGACTATCCTAAATGCAGTGGTTCTACCTGGAAACTGTAAAATTTCGCCATCATTGTGCTCTCTATTCGTGTGTGCTTGCTTAAAAATGTGTGTATATATATAACCTGGGCATTAAATAGTTGGTGCTTAATATGGTTTGGTGGTTCCATCTGACAAGTCACTCGTTACTCGGTGCATTTATTCGAATAAGTGATGGTATTTGGTCATACTGCTTGTGTGTTTCTCTAGTACCGTAACTGAAGTTCAATTTTGGTCTGACGAAGACTAAGGGCTGCAAGTGGGTCAACTATGAACCCACGTCGGGTAACCCACTGATTTGGTCTAGAAGTGGGTTCACGGATTTGGTCTATAAGTGGGTTCACGGGTCGACTCACTTGCACCCTTAGTCGAAGTTCAGAAGAAAAAAAATGCAGGTGGTTTCCTATGCCCTTTTACAAATGGGCTTTTCTGATATCGTGTCATGTACTCATGTATGGCTATCCGTATAGCATGGAGTGAGACTGGCGCATCTAATGTTTCTGATGCACTGCCTGCAGTGATATGAACGAACCAATGGAAAGTTTCAGCTACCCAACTACTCCCCAGGAATTCAGAGATAATTTACTGAGCGTGTATCATGGTGAATTGATTCGCATGACTTATGGAGAGTGGTGAGCATGAATGCCAGCAGGTTATGGTTAATCTGAAGAAAGAACAGCGAACTGAATATTTACATGTACAGAACTACAAATAAAAACCAGGTAAGCTAGCTATCATCAGAAACAACATTCACAGGATGCATCACTACAAAAAGAAAATGAAGCGAAATTTTCTAAAAAAAATGTTCTCAATTTCTCATCCTGAACTTGTGCCTATTGATCAGTTAGTAGCAAGATCCAGGCATTTCCTTGCAGCAAACCAAATAATCCAAAATAATGCAGCCCAACCTGCAGTTAAACAGCACGGTCAAATATGCATTGGTTGAGCACGACTGAATATCACAGTGCTTAAGTTAAGAACCTCCCCTCCCTTTATACTACCTTTGTTTTTTGTTTTTTTTATATACGATAGGCATAACATTTAACTTATGTAAACGTATAAATTAAAATTATAGTTTCTTTATGATAAAATAAATCAAAATTATATAAATAATATTTATATAATTTTTTTAATGGTTCAAAGTCACGTCAAATGTCAATAACATCATACATTTTAAAAAATATCTAATAATCTATAACATTATTTCATATCCAAGTTGACGAAATCTTGAGACAAAAAGCGCTAGCTGTTCTTCCTGCTTGGCTCACCATTTGCAATTTCAAAAGAAATATCACTGGAAAATGTAGTGAAAATAAGAAGAAAATTGCATGAGGAAGGAGAGGAGTAGTAGCCGGCAACTCAAGGTCGACGAGATGTAATGTAATGTACCAGTGGCGATCGTGATGGCGACGACAGTCGCCGCCGTCGTGGCCGCCACGACGAAGACGGCGACCGACAACGCGCCGACGTACGCCACGGCGAGGAGAGCGGACAGCGCCGCCAGGGAGACGACGGCCGCGACGGCGGCGGCGCTCGTCGCCGCCGCGACGAGGACGAACGCGGCGACCAGGAGCACCGTCAGCGCCGCGAGCGCCACCGATCCGACCTGCGGACGAGACGAGACCGGATCGATCACGTACAGGTACACCCAGCGAGAAAATTTGCAGCGGGCGCGCGGCGGCGGCGGCTCACCGATGCGACGAGGAGCGCGCGGGCGGCGCCGCCGCGCCTCGTCCACGCCGCGAGGCCGCGCGCGGCGCCGTGGCACGCGTCGCGGAGGAGGCGGCCGCCGTCGGCGCAGGCGCAGCCACGGAGCACGGACGGGAGGGAGGAGGCCATGTCCACCACCACCACCGCCTCCTCCCCGCCGGAGGACGACGACGACGACGACGACGAGGAGGCCTCGCCGTTGGCGCGCGCGGCGGCGCCGTCCCGTGCGACGTCGACGTCGACCATAGCTCGGTCGGGGGAGACGAATGAGCAGTCAAACGCTCGCGCGTGTCGTTCGCGTGGTCGATCCGATTTTCTGCTGATTTGGCATGCAGCAAGCAGGGACTGACACGTGGACATTGCCTTTAGCTTTCGTTTAGCTGACATTATGTTTTTATTGAAGGTACAGTCCCGTCCCCCCCCCCCCCCCCCGCGGTCACCCACGCGCAGGCGACACGGGGGGCGAACCCTACCGCCGCCGCCACCGCCCCCCTCTCCCTCCTTCCCCTACCTCGCGGCCGCTGGAGCTCACCGCCAGCAAAGCCGGCTGGTGAGCTGGGATGGCGGCGGCGGGGCCTTCTCCGCGGCGGCGCTTCCTCTTTGGTGCGGGGGAGGTGGCGTTCGTTGGCATCGGTGAGAGGTGGCGGCGAGGTCTCCCGGCTAGGCGGCGGCAGATCCGGCATCGTCGTCGCCGGATCTGGCAAGTCCTCCGATTTTCGGCGGTGGAAGAGGCTGCTACGACGCGAGGCGCGCGCATGGCGGCGCGTGGGCGGCGGAGGACGGTGCTAGCGGCAGCCGCCGGCTCCGGTGGTCGGCAAGGTCGGGGCCGGCCGGGGTCTCCATCCCGCCACCACTCCCTTCCTCCTCCCTCTCCACAACCACCCTCTTTCCCCCCTCTTTCCCTTCTTCTTCTCTCTTGATGTTCCTCTCCTCTCTATGCCGTCGGCACAAGCGAAGCAGAAGGGGAGGTCGCCCTTCCCTATTCCTTCCTCCCTTCCTCTCGCCATCTCTGCTACCAGTTGATCTCTGCTGCCAGTTGACTAGTTGCTCTGCTGCTCGCCCCAGCGCTCCTCTCTCTCTCTGCACTGGTGGTAAACTTGGAGGTGGTTGCCGTAGTCATGAGGTTTTGTCCCGCGAAACCGGGAGTTCCTCGCTGGAAACATGGTTGACACCGAGGTCCTGGTTGCCCCTGTCTCTAGCTCTCAGCTCCTCTTCAAGCCGGCTAGGCCTCCTCCCCTCCGTGATGCTCCTCCCTTCTGTTGGCCGTCTGTTCCAAACCTGGCCGTGGAGTCTTTCGGTTGTTGAGGAGAAGTGTTCGTCCATGAAGGTGGTTCAGTCCGTCTGAAGTCAGGGCTCTTATGCCTCGCCAGTGCTTCATGTGCCCTGTGACTGTGTGGACCTGTCTTAGTGCCGAGATTGGAGCAGTGTGTTTTTCCTCTACGGTGCTGAGCTTTTGTGTTAAGGCGGAGTCGGAGCTGTCGCATCGGGTCAGCCGATGAGCTGGGCAACGATAACACTCAACACTTTTGCTCTAGCTTCTTGGAGGTCCTACACCTTTTGAGGGAGTCTTAGGCGAAAGCCCTGGTCTTCCAAGATCGGCGACATCGACGCCTGCGGGTGCCGTTTCCTCCTTGAAGGTGTTGCCTTGTGGACTCTCTCCCCCTTGGTGAAAACCCAGTCCAGTTATGGGCGGGCGTCGGCAGCGGCTTCTATCGTTGTTCACCTTCTTGGAGGCTTCGCCTTGAAAGACTTGCTCCTCTCTCGGTTACTTATGTGGTTCATAGTTTTGTCACAGGTTTTTTTGTGTCTTTTGTGTAAGGTTTTGTCGGTTTCCCCTTAGCGAACCGTGCAGTTGTATGGTTTTCGGGCCTGATTTCCCTTATAAACAGGGTCAACTCTCTTCTTCTAATATATCCGGTAGAACTCCTACCGTCTATTGTTTCAAAAAAAAACATTATGTTTTTATTTATGTCTACGAAACACCAATTAATATATGTAGACCGTAGATAACATATATGTGTACAGGTGAGCAAATGAAGTATTAATTCCTAAACCATCTAGACAATGATTTCGCTATATATTTATCAACAAATTTTCTCTCACAAATTTATAGATATACTCCCTCTGTTTCACAATGTAAGTCATTCTAGCATTTTCCACATTCATATTGATGCTAATAAATCTATATATATAGCATCAATATGAATGTGAGAAATGCTAGAATGACTAAATTGTGAAACGGAGGAAGTAAATACAATATAATTATAGTGTAATTATATAAATTCAATGTAACTTTCACATAATTTTAAATCATTATATTTACTTCAAGATTTGTGTAGGAAAAAAATTGTAGCGTGCATGGGTGAGGAGATTCAGTCTCGCGACCTCCGCTTCACTAAAATAGCTTGTTACCTTAGGGTTTTTGAAAAGTAATATGCAAATTGCACTGCAATTATATGCAAGTTTTAATGTAATTATATTGTGATTGCACTATATTTACATATGATAATTTGTTAGAATCGACCAATGTTAGATACTCCCTTTTTTCCAAGTTAAATGGAGTTCAAAGAGATGAAGGTCAGTTGTAAACCTCTGATCATGCCAAAGTTATATTATTAAAAGTGCATTCGCACATGCCAATTATAAGCACACCGATTTAAAATGTTGATGAGTGGAGTCATGCATCATTAACTCCAAACACCTCTGAAGCTCAAAAATGCAAATTAGCGATCTGGCGCGCCCCGTGCTGACATGGCGCGTGATCGGGCCTGACAACCCGAGTTGCTATTTTTGGCCATTGAGATTTGGGCCTCGTTTTCCTGTTCTTAAGCCCAGTCAATAGGTGGCCTTATATTTTCTTTTGTTTTGGTTAACCTATGTATGCGTTCCATTTTAGGCTTTTGGGCTTTTCTCTTATAGAGTAGGCCAAAATCCGGATTGCGGGCTATTTGTTTTATTTTGTTTTTTAAATCGCATTTCAAATACGTTTCAAATTTACATGTTTAAAATTTGTACATACACATAATGTGTCTAAAGTTTATACATATAAAAAAATTTATAGACTTATACACACATAGGTATGTGTATGAACTTTGTACATATATGTATATACGTATAAATATATACATATAAATATAGAACTTATACAACATGTGGGAGGTAGGGGGATGGGCTCGAAGGAAAGTGTTGATCCGATCATGGGCGCACCATGACACGCGATCAGTCGCACATTAGCGACCCCCTCTCGAGCTTCCCTAATATATTGCACACTTTGTATATAAGACTATTAATAGTTCAACATATTGTCTATATAGTCATGTGAAACAACATGTTGTTTTGTTGATAAAAAGAAGAGGATATTGTTCTAATACATGCCATATAATTTGTTAGGATTGTACACTGCCGGTTTGGGCTTGCATAACCTGCCAAACCAAACCAAAACTTCTTGCTGGTCGTTTTGTATGTGCTGGGTTGGGTCACGGTTCAACCCGTCCAAACCCAACTGCTTCTCCACCGCAAAAAGCCAACGCCACTCTTCCGTCCTCACTGTCAACTCGTATGTTATTTGTGTCTTTACATATACGCAATTTGTGTCTTTACGTATACTCGAACACGCCATCCGCCCCGACGCCGCTGTGAGGGAAGGGAGAAGAAGGGGAGCGGTGAAACCGGCGACGGCTCCAACGCTGCCGCCGAATCGCCGATCGGAAGGGGAAGCGAAAGGGGATCGGGGAGGGCGACGTGGGGAGGGGAGCGCTCGTCGATTCTACGACCAGGTAAGGACGGAACCATCTAGATAGGAAACGAATGGCCAGATTTTGTCCACGCGTGGGAAACAACGGCTCTGATTAGGTGGACTCAATCAGAAATATTAAAATAACGAGGGGTTTTATGCAAAATTTGATGGCGTGGATCGGCTGAGCTCGCGGCGAATCTAGCACGTTTAAGATATCTAGTATACGGTTTGACGGAGGCTATTAAAATACAGTATCAAATTGATGACAATAAATAATGAGTAAAAACCATATGTATTCACTACCTATACTACTATAACGTACGCAACAACGACGGGTAAATTGGGTATTATTATTGCTATAATCTATCCATCGTTGTCTCATTCAATCCAACGAATTAGAAGGAGAGACATTTTCTCGAGGGATCTACAGAATTTCCTAGTCCACGAGTGGTTAGGGTTAATTGGGGGAGCAATTGGAGTAGAATAGACAACTGTACCATGGCATCCATTGATTGCAAATAGTATAAATTAATTAATTGATGCTTACATAATTTACAATCAATCAAAAGAACACATGCCCCGGCCCGTTTATGTTCGTTAAAGATAAAGGCTAAATACGCACGAGAAAAACAAAAAAAATCCATCACCACATATAATTAATTAAGTTTTAATTATTACAAACTTAAAAGTAAGATTTATTTAATATTTTAAAATAATTAATTAAGTTTTAATTATTATAAACTTAAAAGTAAGATTTATTTGATATTTTAAAGCAATTGAGTAAATTTCACTTAATATAGAAAGTTTCGCACGAAATTAACATGCTAAAAAAAAAATAGATAAAATCTATATCTTAATTAGGAAAAGACGTACCATAATACGGGGAGCGGGTGAAGCGTCCAAATCGGATATAATAGTAGCTAATCAACCTGTCGATCGATCGGCCGGGGAAACGTACGTCTGTACTACTTTGCAAAAATTTTGAACTGTTTGCACGACGTTGACAGCCTCGATCTCGCCGTCGATTGCATTTTTGTCACATGCCGTAATCAATCTGAAAGATCCTGCAGGCTCCCACATGTCATTAATGTTAATTAGACACATCTTCGAAAATGTGATATTGGACAGATAACCTACATATATGTAAGTGAAACGATATGGTGAGGCCTTGGTCGACAAGCCTATAGTGTTTCGCAATTATTCTCGATTATATAATTTGGTGCAAATGATTAAATGGACCAAATTAATCACGCACATGCTCACCAGCACTATTGAAAATTTAAGTCGAAATATGGATATCTTTGTCCAAAAGATTAGGAGTAAATTAGCAAAATTTAAAATATCAATAGGGCGATTGCAAAACCAAAACTACATATTCGATAATAAAATGATT